GCTGCTGGTATCGTTGGAGGCGGAGCCGTGCTTGTCGAAGTGCTCGAGGGTGCCGCCACTCCTCTCGATGTACCAGAGCCAGAGGCTTCCGCGCTTCTCGTGACGACTGGCATCGTGGGCTTCTTCCGCTGTAGAATCTCGACGCCGTCGAAGACCTCCCTGCGCTTCCGAAGCTGAAGGAGTTCTCGCTCGAGCGCCTCGATCCTGCTGCTGGTGTTGAGCGTGAAGGTCTGCATAGTCGAGCGATCGTCGATCTCGAAGAGCATCGCCGGAGCGGCGGGTGCTGCGGGATTTCTTCTATGCCACTCGTAGATTCGATCTCGTATTGTGAGACCAGGGATAGTGCGGGGGCAGAAGCTTCCGTTTGGAAGGACGATCTTGCCTTCGGTGTTACGCTTGCACTTGCCGTCCCGGATGTCGATCTCCGCGAACTCGCAGGTGCCTACCCTGCAGCCACGATTGCCGCAGTAGTGGCACGTCTGTTCAACTCCGCTGTTCTCGTGGACGTGGACGGCAGCTTGTTGTCTCGGTGCGGGGGCGTGGCTGTGCGTAGCGTGTGTCGTCGGCTGGATGAGTGTTGCGATCGTCCTCGACAGGCTTTCTATGATCATCGAGATGTCTTCGGTTTTGATCATCCCGGGGGGCACCGTTGTCGAAGTGTTCGACGTCGAAGCGGTAGCTTGGTTAGCCACTGTCGTAGGTGTGCTCGATGTTCCGTGTAAGATGAACGTAGCCGCCGCGTGAATCTCTGTCATGGTGTACGGGTCGTCGGCGTAGTGATCGGGATGCTTGAGATGCAGTCGGGTCTCGAGCCGTGTGAGCAATGCTGGCTGGAATCCTCGAAGAAATGCGCGACTTTGCTCGATAGTGGAGAGACGGTGCTGTGCAATGAGATGTTTTGTAATGGCCATGAAGTCGCGGTAATAGCAGCCTAGGTCTGCCGCGTTGTGAATCCCGATACGAGCGCGTTCTCCGATGAGCTGGTCCATGTCCGCCAGCGACCACTTTCTTGTATCGTCGGCGCCAGGATAGAGTGCTCGTACGTCGGCTTTCCAGTCGTTGTAGCTCTTGGCTACGTCGATGAAGGACTCGATGGTTTCCCACAAGTCGGCGACGTCGATCGAAGGATACCGAACGGCCCACTGTTTCTTGGCTGCTTCGTCGGTGATCTGACACCGGGTGAACAATGCCTCGAGGTCCTGGAAGTAACGCCGAAGCGAACGGACTTCCGACGGGTCGAAGGTTGGTGCCGTCGAATGACCGCGCGGGGGCATCAACGGTGCGGTCGTGTTCTGACTCATGTTTGTAGTGTTAGTAGGGGCTGGGCTCGAAGAGGACGTGGTAGTAGTCGAAGGAATCGTAGGAGCGGGCGGTGCGGGGTTGGAGTTCGAAGCTGCGTTCGAAGGTGTTAATGGTGGCGGAGGTGCCAGGTCGGATGAAGGTATGAATGAAAGTCGCGAAGAGGATGCGATGGGCGGCTGAGCGTGGACGCGAAAAGAAGACGGAGTCGGGAGTACGAGATTCGAAGTAGATGGGATGGGATACTCGGGTTCGGGCGAAGAACTGGATCGTCCGAAAAGATCAGGAGTCGAAAAGTCGTAGTCGGAAGTAGTGAGGCCTAGAAGCTCGGGGGACGAAGTGCGTTCTTCGGCGGTCGAAGGGATTGGTTCTTCGTCGAAGTCGTCCTGTAGTTCTTGGTCTATCTCGTCTTCTTCGTCGCGGTCGAAGTCACCGGGGATTGTTGGAGAGGGAGTCGATTGTGTTCTAGAGGAGCTGTCGAGGTTCTCAGCGGCGCTGCGGCTAGCAGCCTCACGCGCTTGCGAGCGGGTGACTACTGGAGACGTTTTCGGAAACCCGAAAGCGGCGAATTCTTGCCTGAAATCCCCTCGCGGTGGGCTCCAGAAATGATACGACCTACGAAACCCTAACCCCTAACCTGGGTGCGACCTAAAGGGACTAGAGAGACGGCTTATAGTCTAATGAGAGGGGAGTTAGCAGCAAGGTGTCCCGCGGTTCGAGTGAACACGAGAAACGCCTTCGGAAAAGGCTACGAACGCTAGGGAAGGTACGAGGTGGCTTCGACACGTCGTCGAAGCTACTCGGAGGCTGTGGAAAGTTATCGACGATCGAAGCTCGGTAGAGCTCTTCGACGTATCGTAGAGAGAAGGGACACGATTCGATAGGGGGGACTTAACTAGGACGCGGTTCGAGGTGCAACGCAGTTTCTTCGACAGTAGTCGAAGTCGCAAGGTTCGTCGAGACGGTATCGACGAGTGAACGCAGTGGACGAGGTTTCGAGGTTACGCAGTGAGGAACGAAGTGACGCAGTTGAGGACGTAGACGCAGGGCGAACTCGACTTATGAGCTCTGAACTCGAGGGGGGGGACCGGATCTTGTATTTTTAGAGAGAAGTACGACCGATTTTATACTACACAGGACGCTACGACTATTCGAGAGTGGCATACGAGTACAAGGGGCTTTGCATTGTTCCTCAAGAACCTGCCTCACCGAGAGGCACGTACCAAGTCCATCGTTAGAGTGACGTCATGCCGAACGCGGAGATGAAGAGCAACATATGGCCACTTCGGACCGGTAGCCGTCGTGAAGGCATGCCGTGAGGTTCGATACCTAATCGGGAAAGACCGGCTACTTCGGTGTGGCTTGGAGCGAAGCGCGCGCTTGGCCGAGCGGCGTCGAGTGGCCCTATTGTTCGCCGAATGCGGAAGACGTTCCGAGATCTACGCACGAGGCATCGGGAAGACCGTGCCGAGCTTCGAGTAAGCATCGCGCACCGTCGAAGGTGTCGAAGAGCGTCGAAGGCGAAATCGAAGTGTTGGGGGACTGAGTCGAAGGTGCCGGGCGG